GGACCAGAAGCCCAGGCGGCGGCGGCGGCTGCTGCTGCGGCGGCGGCGGCTGCTGTGGCTGCTGTGGGGGCTGCTGCTGAGGGGGCGGTGGGGCCTGCTGGGGAGGCTGCATTAACGGGTGCCTGGAACCTACTCCAGGCTCCAGACCCACTGGCATCTTGCGGGTCCCTCCGAACCTCTCGAAGAACACGCTGTGCTGCTGCTGCTGCTGCTGCTGTTGCTGTTGCTGCTGCTGCTGTTGCTGTTGCTGCTGCTGCTGTTGCTGATGCTGTTGCTGTTGCTGCTGCTGCTGCTGCTGCTGCTGCTGGGCGTGCATTTTGGATAAGCCCACCATGCCTGCAGCTCTGGGCATGGCCGAGGCACCCGGGAAAGTGCCCCCGGGAACTTGACGACCCGCTGCATAATGAGGCAGCTGCCCCTCGGAATCGGAGGGGGAAAACATGTCGAAATGTCCCGAGGGCGCCTCGGCCGGGTAATTGTATTCCAGCGAGTCGACGGCTCCTTGGTTCGCCACCCTCCGGGGCTCCAGACTGTGGGAATCGGACCCGCCGGAGGCAGGCAGGCCATGGAAGGAGGCGGCTCGGTTAGGGCTCTGGTCCAGCGGCAAGCATGGGGCAGGCACGGCGTGGCCGGAGGCGCTCGAACTGTGGAAGTCCGGGAGGTTCCCAGGTCGCTGCGGGCCGAAGCTCTCCGGCCCCTGGCTCTCCGCCATGTGATCATAACCCTCGGCGAAGGGCGGCTGGCTGCCCAGGCCGCTGGCCGAGCCGCCGTAGCCGAGCAGACGACCTCCATGCAGGCACGAGGCCCCAGGATCCGGCCCGCCAAAGTTGCCCCCGAAGTGGGGGTGATGCTGGTGGGGGTGGTGACCTCCCGGGTGGCCGTGGTGAGGCTGTTGGCCTCCAAAGAATCCATGCACCGGCTGCGCCTGCAGCCCCCCCGCGTGCAACTCCGAGTGGCCGCGCGCGTGAAAGCCGTAAGGCTCCATGTTCATGCCCAAGATCGGCGGTTCGCCCAGCCCGCTCATGGCAGGGTCCACGGGGCCAGGGGGTCCCCCCGCGTGGAAAGCCGGGGCCTTAAAGTGGGCGTTCATGCTTAGTCCGGCCTCGTTAAAGTTCCTCTCGCCCTGGCCAGCGTTCCTGCTGTTGATCTGGGGCTCGAATTGGTCCAGCCCAAACATACTTGGCGGGGGGCGGGGGGATCAATAGGGCATGACAGCCTGCTCTCCGCGGCGCGCCTCCGGCCAGCTACTCGTTCCGGCCCTGAGTTGGGCGCTCCGGGAGGTTCAGCACCGCGGGGGCGCAGCGCGCAACGCCACCTCGCCTGGCTTGTGAAGGCTAGGGGCTATCAGCTCCTCTCCCGAAGCTCTCGCTCTGCCCGACACGAGCCTCTCATATCTTGCGGCGTCGTGGGGCCTCCAAGATTCGTGTTGGGGGGCCCATGCTCCGGGTGGTTGGCACAGCCGCGGGTGGGTTTGCGGGCAGGGATGGAGCTGAGGACAAGTGGAGACAAAAAGTTATGTGGGGGGAAGGAGGCGGGAAGGAGGGAGGGAGAGGAGAGCGATCACCTTCTTAAGTCCGATCGGGTCGGGTGGGGAGCCCCTGGACGCTGCCCGAAGCCTCCCGGAGTCAGTGGCGGAGCTGCTAAGGGGCCGGGTAGGGAGACCCTTCAAAGCCGTGGCTGGCGCTGGGGCACGGACAGATCGGTCCCTCCCCCCTCCCCCCGGAGTCCCCGCGCTCCGCAGCCCGAGCCACAGCCAAGCACGATCCGCTCGCACAGTCTCCGTCAGCCCTGAGCAAGCGGCTACTGCTTCTTCAGTGAGTCGGAGGACTGGAGGCTCCGCTCGGCATCACCGGTGCCGGCCCCCTAGCCGAGAGCTCAGCAGGGCTGAGGAGGCGGCGGGCTCCCGGGGTTGACGCGAGGGTTGGGGGAAGGCGCGGCTCCACTGTTCCGCGGCGGGTGCGCTGCACCCCGGCGCGCCGCTTCGTGGCCACGTCCGCCGCCTGCCGCTTCTGTTCTTCGCTGTTCGGTCTTTGAGTTCGCAGGGATCTCCGCGCCCCGTTCCAGGCGCGGGTGGGCAGCGAGACGAAGGGTTGGGTCGATCCAAGGCTCGGGTTCCCTGCCTCCGCGCCGAGGTGCTTCACAAGTCGCCCTCGGACCCAGGGAGGGGGGCGTACGCGGGTTGGGGGGCCACGCTGGGTGAGCAGGCTAAGGCGTTCAGGCTGCGCTCTCGGAGCCGGGAATGGGAGGGGGCGGAGGCAGCTCTGGGGGGTCCGCGCACCCCTCTCCTGGCTGGCGGGGGGGCTCTGCGTGGGGCGTTCCGAGGGTCTCGGCTCCCCTCTCTGTGTCTGCCTCTCGCCCTGAGCCCGGAGAAGCAGCAACAAGTTTTGCATTTCAGCAATCAATTTCAGCCATTACATTTGCACCAATCAGCGCAGCCCGAGCTCCGGGCCCGGGGCGGGGCTCGCTCTTAAGGTGGTCCTGGGTACTGACTGCTGAGGCCCCCGGTACGAACCCGCACTTCGCCAGCTCGGGGGTCCCCTGCACCGATTAGCCTCGGGGTCCGGAGCCAATGCGCTGCGGGCGTACCCTAGCCTCCCGGCACATCGGGATGGAGAGGGCGCAGGCGGAGAATGGCGGGAGCTTGGCTTTGTTCACCCCCCTTCCCACTCATCGCAGTTCCCAACTCCCCACCCCCAACTGAAGCGAGACCTGCGGGGTGGGCAGGGGGCGGGGAGGTGGGCGGTAAGCAGTGCGGGGCGCTCAGACAATGGGGTCGCCAGGCAAAGCTCTCGGAAAGTCGCTAAGTGTCGACTGCGCTTCAGTCCTGGAGCGAACCCTCTGCTCTCCACCGCTGTCTGCTTACTTGTGGCGCCCAAGTTAGCCGGCCTTGGGATTTTCCTGGAGGTGAAAGCACACGGGGAACCCTGAAGTTAGGGTTCTCCTCGAGAGACCCGGGCGCTTGCTCACTCTTCCTTCACTAGGGCACGCACAATTGTTCCCTGTTCCCACTGTCTAGGGTTCCTGGTTCTCAGTGGCCGGCTTCGGCCGGGAGGAACCATAACCCTTCGGTCACTTTATGGGGGGCATATCGGATGAGCCCAGCGCCAGAGCAGCGAGGCAACTAGAAGCCCCCAGAGAAGACCAGCGCTCAGAAAGCCGCACTGGCCGGCGGGGACACTCTAGTCCAGGCATCCCCGTTCAAGGCCCAGGCCCTCTTCGAGCTCGAGGTTGGCCTCCTTAAGAGATCAATTAAAGTGAAGAGGCCAAGAAACGGAATTGGGTTGTGATACTAAAATCAATAGGAGTAATTTAATATCTGCCCTGCTCTTTATGAAATATTTATCCCAATAATCTTAGTTAAAATGTTTAGATCTTCCTGATCCCCACTGAGGCTGCAATCTATCTTGCAATTAGAAGTTGAGAGTTAGAGGTGACGGAGGGTAGAGGAAGTGTTTATTCTGTGTGCCTGGTGCGTGTATTTTCCTCCCTAGAGCGTTTGGAGGGGAGGAAGGGGGAGAAGTCCTTTAATTTTCCTTGCCATAAAATAGCACGAGGCGATTTTGCTAGCAGACCAGCACTCTTAGGAGAAGGGGAGAAAAAAGGAACTTTCTTTGAAGTGCCCCTGATATCGCTATTAAATCTAAATAAAATTAAGCATGGTGTATAAAAATGCCGTTTCCCCCCACAAAAGAAAGTGTTTATCGCCCAAGTCTGTCTAGCGTTTGCTAAATTGCGCATGAAATCTGAAATGAAATAAACGTTATAATAAAACCAACCCTTGAGCCCTTTTTATTTAAAAACCTCAGATTAAGCACTCCACCGTCGCGGGCAGGGAGTTAAAAAGTTACCACGTAGTCCGCGCAGATTCATTGCTCCCTGGAGTTGCTGCTGGGAAGGCAGACGCTGGGTGTTCCAGAACCCAAAATGCCAGGAAAATGGGCTCAATTTAGGGCTAGAAGAAGCAGGAAGCAGGGTCTTTGGGGGCTCCTGAAGAAAATAACACCCCCCCATAAGAATACAAATAAAAACAAAAAATAAAAACCTGCAACTTAAAAACTCAGACAGCGGAAGCAAGCTCAGATCTAAGGCCCTTCGTGGGAAATCCCTGGTGAGGGTGTCTACAGATATTTTTTTCCTTTTTAAAATTAAAAATGAAAATTACCCCCGCCAAAAATGGGGTCCATAAATAAGCATCCAGGAAGAAGTATTTGTACAGGGCGGTGGAGTTTTAAAAGGATTTTTCTGCAGGATCAGGTTGTTGGTCTGTGATTAAATATTGATTTTGTGTAATTAGTTTTCATGTGAACTATCCTCTTGCTGATAGCTTAGAGGTTTCAGAACTAGAAAAGAAATGGAATTGGACATGGAAATTATTACTTAGCAAAGTGACAGGAAAGTGAGAGCCAGAGAAAAGACTGAGTCTTGGCTGATTTCGGCACAAAGGAATAAAGGGCCTGGGTGGGCTTCCAGTGACCCTCTCACCCTCATCCCGGGGCCCCAGGCCCAACCAGGGGAGACGCAGAGCCTCCTGGGCCGGAATGCAACCCTGTGTGGGCAAAGACCTATGTAAAATCCATGACACCTTGTCACAAACCTGGTCCAGAGCAGTGGGCTCTGGGTGCATCAGAAGGCACCTGTGTCTGTGTGTCTGGAGAGAATAGGGAAATTTGGGGGCCTGCCTGGAGCCCTGGGTGGGCCAGGGTGGTGGGAAGACTGGCCCACAGACTTATTGTCTGGGGCAACCCCTGTTGGGGTGTGCTCTAGGCTGAGGCATGACTTCACATGGGGTTGGGTGGGGGTCCCCAGAACACCTGGGCAGGTTTCCTGTGGAATAATTCTGTGCGCTCCGGAGGGTGGAGGGGTGGGAGTGTTTTTCTGGGGCCGTTTCCAAAAGTTAAGTCTACAAGGTGTGTGAGTGTCTGAAAGGAGGGTGTGTTTGGGCCCGGCTGTGTTTCTGTTCAGGATGTGTGTCTGGGTCACCTTTCCTTAACACTAAGAATGTTGTGTGGGTGTGTGGCCTGTGCCTGCATTTGTGTCCTTGCCCGTGGCAAGGCAGCAGGGCATCTTCGTGTATTTGTGTGCACGCCTGTGTGTGCCTGCATTCCTGTGTCTGGGTGCCCCCGTGAGCGTCCCTGGAGAAGGTGTGCCGTCTGTCCCCCAGCCCTGTTCTCTCTGTGTACATCTCTGTGTTTGTGCCTTTGTATGTGCTGCTGCCTCACACCTCATTTGCCTGCGTCTCTGCTCACGTGCATCTGTTTTCTTTGCGAGTGTGAGAGCCTGTGCCCATCTGTGCCCGTGGACACACCAGCGTGTGCGCCTCCACGGTGTGGGTGCCCCTGCATGTGCCTGAGTGTTCACTCCGCCTTGCAAGTGCCTGAAGCTTCTTTGGAACAGACACATTGCCCCCTAGCGGTCAGACGAATTCAAAGTCCCCGCCTGCCGGCCGATGCAGACCCAGCAGCGGCAGGAGCCGCATGGTCCAAGCCCGGGCACCTTCCCTCCTCTTCCCCTTCCTCAGCCTTTCCCTAGAGGGCTGCCGAGTGTGCTGGCACCAGTTAGAGGGGGCCTCCTGGGCGAAGGAAGAAGGAGACACAGCAGGATTGCAGCCCTGGAGCTGAAGAAGGATGCTCCCAGCTGGTGACAACTGGGGAGCTGCCTGGAATATACCCTAGTGAGCTTCCAGGAACCCTCCCCTCTGAGACTGAGAGCCTGTTGTACCTGAACCAGCCCAGGAGCTCCAGTCCAAAAGGGGACCCCCAACTAGTGAGTCTCCCCAACTCCGCAAAAACTCAAAAGCAACCCACATTCAACACCCTTTCCCCAGTAGACACACAGCCTTCACCCTTGTGCATCAGGCCCCCAACACCAGCACAGGCACACACACTCACACACACACACCTCCACAGCCTACAGATCTGCACACTAGCTGCCGGCTACTGAAGGCTCCCTCTGGGCCAGGTGCTTCAGATCCAGGGTCCCATTTCATCCTTGCAGCAAACCCCTCGAGTTTGGGACTCTGAACCCATTTTATAGATGAGGACATGGAGCCTCAGCCTGGTTAAGTGGCTTTCCTAAAGTCAAAGAGTGGCAGAGCTAGGATTCCAAACCCATCTGCCTGACGCTGAGGCCCGGCTCTTCACCACCACCTGCTCTACGTGAATGTAATAGTTCAGATACAGCATTTAGCACAGTGCAGGGAACATGGTAAGTGCCAAGAAAAGTTAGCTACCTTTATCACTCCTGCCATTGCTGTCAGTGTTAATATTACTGTTCTTATGATTGGTACTATTCTCTGTGTGTCTCTCTACCACACCAACATGAGAAATTAGCACAGACACACATACACACACACAGAAACACTAATATTCTCAGCCTTCTCCCCACTCACCCCCGTGCCCTTTAGATCTTGGAAACTCACAGGAATCACTGCACACCTAGTCTCTCTTGCAGACAGAGTCCCCCAGGAAGCCTGGAGAGGAACCTACTTCTCCCGACACCTGGGGTCGAGGGTCCACAGACCGACTCTCACAAGTCAGTGGTGGAAGGACTGTGTGCTTTGGTCTTGAATACCCAAATTCAAATCTTGTCCTCGCTACTTCTGATCTGTGTGACCTTGAACAAAAGATTTTCTTCCCCTGAGCCTCAGTTTCCCCTGTGGGGAAAGGGAATCATAGCCAGTGCATATGGAGCTTAAGAATTGGAGACAGTGTTTAAAAGTAGCACGAAGCATGGCAGATGGTAGGCATTCATTAGATGTTAGGCTCTCTTATTACCATTAGTATCATTATTATTTCTTCTGTGTTTGGATCCAGGGAGGTGGAAATCAGAACAATGATGCTAGAGAAACTGGATTTATTTGACGAATCAACCTTACCTCACCAGCCAGCCTCTGAGAAAAAGGATGACTCTCCTAGGTGGTCACACCAACCTCTCTCACCCCACCCAACGGGTGCAGGCCCAGCGTCTGACCAGGGAGTATCTAGGGCTAAAGCCTCCAGGAAGGTCCAGCTGTGACCAAGATAAATGTATAGTAACTGGCTGGAGGTTGGGAGGAATGAGATACTCATGTAGCCACAGGTTGCTGGTTTCTAAGCAACAGCATCCCCCTCTCTCTCTCTCTGTGCACGATGCCAGGTATGTTTTGGGGTGTCTCTCCTCCATTGAATAAATACATATTGAATACCTACTCTGTGACAAGGGTTCAGCCTGGGAACTCAGGAAAAAGTGGAAGATCCAGTCCCAGCCCTGAAGCCATATCAAAAGAAATCTAGTATTCTATGCAAGAAGGACTACAATACACAACTCTGCTAG